AAGGCCTGAGGCATCTTTGGGCTCTATTCCCTAGCTTCAGGTCCTTATTCAATCATCGTGTTTTCCAAAGAAACTCATCCCAGAATCCTACTAATATTTCAGCACCTCTCCCCCATTTCTCATTATCTGATTGATTTGTCAGCTCTAACACATGCGAAAGTACCACGGTATCTGTGATTTTCCTTCATTTGACTGCTGTTCCTAGGACTTAGAATGGACCTTGTACAAGCAAGTTTCTGCTGTTGAAGGATGCTAATAGCTTGAATGTATAAAATTATACATGAGCCCCTTTATAATTTGTCTGTAAATCATCAGAACACAGTATGAACAGCCGGGACATTAACACAAAGCGTGAACATCAGTGAGTAACAGTATCTGGATGTGAAACCTGCCTTCCTCCTGTGGCAGAGGCATCTTTGGGTTGAGGACTCAGCAATGCCATTGCTGTCCTGTGAGTGGATCCATGGGCACCTCCTGACCCTTGACATCAGTGTTCAGAATTTTCTGCATTGGCCTGACCTATGTGCTTTCTGTTTGTTCTGCAGAGGTTATTCTTTTGTGTGAAAACTTGAGTGGGGTTGTGTGTTTGCTGGTGTCAACCTCAGTATGAGGTCAGTCTTCCCTACAGGGCAAATCTGTGACAGGCTTCAGACGTTATTTTTCCAAGCCTGCAGGGGTCACTCTGAGCATAGGATCCATGATCTCCCCATTTCTCCTGCTCCCCAGCTCTATCCTATCAGTAGTCATTGATAGGGACTATGCTGGGCACTGAGCCTTTGAGATGCCCTGAGGCCAAACCTGTCCCTTTTACAGCTCATTGACAGACACGAAAGTACCTTCTGGTTGTGATGTCATTTCTGTCTGGTTCATATTCTCAACCCAGTTGAAATTTCCCATAATATTTTAAAGATTTATTTTATTTTTAATTATGTTCTGTGTCTGTGTGAGGGTATGCGCACATGAGTGCAGGTGCCCATAGAATCCAAAAGAGGTCATTCAGTCCCTTGGAACTGGAGTTACAGGTGGTTGTAAGCTGCCTGACATGGACACTGGAAACTGAACTTGGGTCCTCTGCAAGAGCAGGGTATGTTCTTTAACTGCTTAGCCATCTCTCCAGCCCCATCTTCTTTTGGATTGTGGCCTGGTTTCTAGACAGTTCCTTCAAATAAAAGTGCACTGTCAGGTGATGCATTGAGCCAGGCATGCTCCCTGGCATATGTTCTCCATCAGAGCTGCCTTGAGAGCTGGGACTCAGAGCAGCACTCTGTAGATCAGTAGTGGAGGAAGAGTGTGTTACCAGGGTTGGCTGGTGTGAGTTGCATTAGTAACATTTGTTGTTGCTGGGACAAAACACCTGACAAAAGCAAATCAAGGAAGGAAAGGTTTATTTTGGCTCACAGTTTAAGACACAGTTCCTGTCCTAGGGAAGTCATAGAGTCAGGGGCTTGACTCAGCTGGTCGTCCACAGTCAGAAAGCAGAGACAGATGGATACTGGTGCTTGCCTAGTTTTCTCCTTATTTGGACCATGGAACAGTGCTGCCCACATTTAGGATGGGTCTTCCCACCTCGATGAAATTAACCATTAAAAATAGAAACTCCCTCACAGAAATTTCTAGAGGTTTGTCTCCCAAATGACTGTCAAGTTGACAATATTACATCACATGGATGAATGGCATTGGAAGATACCATGACCATGAAAGAACCTGACGTGTGGGAAGAAAGGAAGCCAACAGGGAAATGAGGCCGCGTGCAAAGGCACAAGACAGCACAGGAAACCTCCGGGCTTTGCACTGGAGTCCGCCTGGCACTGACCTATAAGATAGTATGTTTTTCGTCTCTAAATGAAGAAGGTTTCTGGCTTGTGAGAACTGAGTCTAGCATGCTTTAGATTACAAACCTCATCTGCCTCTTTTCTGTTTTAAAGTAATAATTGGGGGTTGCACTTGGAAGTGAACTGACACACAAATATTGCTATATCCTGCACATCTTTTATATAAGTCAAAGATTGAACCAGAACTATGTCTTGGAATGATGAAGCCTAGACAAGAAAACAATTAAGTCAACAATATTGTTGTTACAGATGTCTGCAGCCTTGCAGTGTTTAGCCTTCTCTGCTCCCTCAGTGTCATGCTCACTCATGTGGACACAGTCACTAAGGCCTTATGAGGTGGTTAGAGTAGGGCAGGGAGTTGGCTCTTACCATGTCAGGCTGTAGGCTCTAGAAACAAGCTTGACCCCATCACAGACTCCTCTGACCTGAGAAAGTGCTGTTGATCATCCTACTGCCAGTCTCAGACGTGGGAGAAGTGAGGTAATGTCTACTTTGACCTTTTGAGCTTCTCAGAAGAACAACATTTACAGTAATACAGTAATGTGATTTCCTGACACATTTTCTCATGTTGTAATGAACTGGAATTCTATTTACCTAAATTGCTTTAGGTGCTTCTAGAATATTTTGCCATCTTGACCTTGAGATCTGGGCCTAGACTAGAACCCTGAAAGGATGCTCAGCCTAGTGAGCCAGCTGTACATTTATGATGTTTGAAAAGGACCTTGGGAAAGGAAGTCATGAGAACTAGACTGGGTGATAATGGGGTATTATCCTTATCTTCAGAATCTATACCACACTTTAAGCTTTCTGTTTTATTAAAAATAAATACATATTCAGAAAAACAAAAAACCACATCTGTGTTAATTTAGCAACATCACATACTAAATGACTCATCTGTAAAATCTATCTGCCACTTTTCTCTGTGATGGGCTCTACCTAGCCTCCTTCAAGATTTCCTTCATTTTTTGTTGATTCATAAAATCATACGTGCACAGATGGCATGAAAGTAGAAGTGACACTGTATGGGGAACAAAGGGGATGAGCAGGAGGGGGGAGTGGCAGGGTGTGGGATATGCCCAAAGTACATTACACACGTTCAGGAAATGGCCTTTATGTAACCCAGCAAAGTAATGCGAAAATATTTACTTCATCTTGTTGCGTGGGCCAGATCCTCAGTGTTTAATAATTTGCTTCTGATACATTGATACTATCAATTCCGTAAAATACTAGCAGTATTTTTGGTTCATTTGCAAAATACCTGGCTGGTTATTTCCTAATGCTTTAACTTTGTTCTGCATATAAAGGACTCCCAAGTGGCTTTTGTTGAAACAGTCATAACCAATGTAGCTTGGTAAACAATATCACAGTAAGATGGCTTTCTAGTCAGTTTTAAACAGAAAGATTAAGAGCACTGACTGTTCTTGCAGAGGACCTGGGCTCCATTCCAAGTGCCCACATGGTGGCTAAGAACCATCCTTAACTCAAGTTCCAGGGGAATCCAACACCCTCTTCTGATCCCTGTGCAGTTGTACGACATGGGTGCACTTACACAGGTGCAGGCAATACACTCATACACATAAAATAAAAATAACAAATAAAATACTTTTTAAAAACAGAGAGATTAAAAGAAGGGGTGAAAGTGAAAGGAGGGAACACATGTGTTGCTGCTGATAAAACATAAAGATATTAATTATAGCTGGGATGGTGGATGGAGCACACCTATAATCCCAGCACCTGGGAAGTAGAGGCAAGAGAGTCAGTAGTTCAAGGTCTTCATCAGCTACAGAATGAAACTGAGGCCAGCTTGGGCTGCATGAGACTGTTTCACACATATACATACATACACACACAGATATTAACTTATTTTATAATTATTTATATCAGGTGGTTTGCTATGGAATTTTCTAGAAGCACTTGGTTTTGTGGAAGTTTCAAAGGAATGTCAGCTTTCTGTAAAGGAATTTAAGAAACTACTGAGTAAGCCATAAAAAAGAAGAGAAGTGACAATATACACTTTTATTTTTAAAAAATTTTATTTTTTTTAATTTTATGTGTATGAGTGTATTGCCTGCATGTATGTGAGTGCACCCATGTCGTGCAGTGCCTCAGAGGTCAGAAGAGGGCTTCAGAGTCCCCTAGAACTGGAGTTAAGGACGATTTGTAGCCACCATGTGGGTGCTGGGAATCGAACTTGGGTCTTCTGCAAGAGCAGTGAGTGTTCTTAACTGCTAAGCCATCTCTTCAGCCCTATATATACTTTTAAAAGAGTACTTAATACAATTTTTATTTTTAGACCAATGATATAAACACATCCCTTTTCCTGAATGAGAAAAATCTGTAAATTCACCGAATAATAAAACAATATAGGATAATTTTGTTGGCACCCCAAATACCACGTGAAAACACAAATACTTTCCAAAATAATATGTTTATTTGACTATGTAGTAGTATGCCAGGGATATGAGAAAAAAAGTCATTTTTTTCCTTAAGAAACATATCTTCTGTAGGGAAATGCCAGTAGATTCCTGTGCAACTGTTCTTTAGAGCAAAATGATCTGTTACTAAAAAAAAAAAAAAATTATAGCTCAAAGATAGAGTTCAAAAGAAGTTAAGTTGTAAGTAATCTTTTATTTTGGTGTGTATGTATGTGTGTAGTGCAGGCATGTATGTGGACTTGTATGTGCAGCAGCTGTGTCCTGGGTGGTAACCAGAGGACGTCTTTCCTCTCTTGTGCCCCTCCTTACTCCCTTGAGACAAAGTCTCTCACTAAATTTGGAGCTTAACATTTTTCAACAAGGCTGTTTGTCGGCATGCCCTGGGGGTCCTCCTGATCTACACACCAGAGTGCTGGAGCCACAGGTACATTGTCACTGGCTTTTTATGTGTCCAGATCTGAACTTAGGCCCTCACACTTGCACTGCAAGTGCTCTTACACGCTGAACCATCTCCTCAGCCTCATAGATAATCTTAACAAAACTAGATATTCTCTTCTTGAAAATACAGTAGTTTGAATGACTATATTAAACATATTATAGGGTTTTTATGTTTTCTTGATAAATTTCTGATTTTCTGTCATTTTGTATAAGTATAGATGAGGCAGCCTTTAGAAACATTGAAACTTCTCCTCTTTCTAAACAAAGACATGATGCTTTATTTTATTTGTTGCAGGATCGAAGCAAACGCTTGGAGAAGGTCCATGTAGTTATAGGACCTAAGACGTGTGACTTGGATTCTCTCATTTCAGCCTTCACATATGCATACTTTCTGGACAAGGTGAGAGGAAAAAGGATTATGTCCCCTATATCTCAGTTGTATAACTTTTAAGAACAAACATTTTCTAAGGAATTGATGTTATTAATTTGGTTTTTCATGTTCTAGTGGATTATAGCAGAGAAAAGTCTTAAAAATCCATTAATCAACAAACATTTATTAAATACCCACTATGTGTTAAATATCATTCTGGTTATTTCTTACTGATCTCCTCATAAAACCATATTTCAATAAGGTTACTGTTGCAAATAAATTAAAATGTTTATAGTAGTTAATTGCTTCTATGAGCACCCAGAGCATTGAAAAAGCAGGGCTCAGGACTTCCTTTCCCTACTGTATAACCTTACCTTTGGGAGCACAAAAACACATTACGTAACATGAAGCACAGAGCTCTGGTCAGAGATTCAGAGACCCGGGCACTGCATGTCAAATCTACATTCTGTAATCCTTCCTTGGTTTTGCATTTTAGCTTTGATGATAATCTGCCTGAAGGGAGAATCTCTCTACTCTGAAACACACTCTCAGCCACAGAACTAGAAAAGGCTTTTTAAAAAATCATATTTAAATTTCCCATCCATAAAATCCATCAGCCCATGACAATGGGCTTTAGTGCCTAGAAGCCTTAAAATGTATATTATAAATGTTTGGATATTATTTCCAAAAGTTTCACAGAATTTTTAATTTTCTAGAGACTGTTTTTTTTTTTTCCCAATTGTGTTAGTATCTGGATCCTCTGAGAGTATGCATAGCTGATCTGGAGTGATTAAAATGCACATGAAACCCAGTCTTCCAGAATGAGCTGTGGGTGGCAAACACCGCTTTAGGGCAGCATTTGATGAAAATGATGGGTGAAATATTCTGATCTCTACATGTGGGCTGTATATCAAATTTATCTTATATTTGTTGAACTTCGTAAGAGATTAATTGATATGAAGAGATGAATGTGCCTGAGTCGAGATGTGCATATTAAACAGTCCCTGTTGCTCCATGCTGCTCACCCAGAGAACACGGTTGACGGAACCGGATTTACCTTTAGACTAACAGTGGCACTTGCACTTTAAAGAAAATTAAATAATAATAATAATAATAATAATACAACTAACTATAGCTATAGTGTTGTGAATGAGCATAACAACATATAAAAAAAGAGGTGGGAAAATTGTGAGAGACAAAAGAATAGATGATAGATAGATTGATAGACAGATAGATGAAAACAGACCCATAGATTCTCCTCTCCCTTGGAGACTTTCTACTAGGCATAGAAACAAATGTGGCATTAGTAAGGAGTCACACACTAGGAATTTCATTGTTTCCATGCCTTCTTTGTCTTACTGTGCTAGGCCTTGCTCAGTGCACACAGGCTGTGTCTCCATTGAGTTTTCCATTGAGTTTTCAGTCCCTCAGAGTATTAACACACAAGGTAGTGCAGGGCTCTGCAGCTTTGCATGCATCCCTTGAACTCTGGTGGATAGAAGAGTGGGTGAGCCCCAATCTACACATGGAGAAAGTCAAAGTTCAGAGAAGAAAAGAGCTTTCTCCGAGTTGTGGGGTGAGGGATTGGGCTAGAATCCAGTTTTCTGTTTTCAATGTATATTTTTATTGAATTTTTGTGGATTTCATACGTTTTAGTCATTTTTAGACCTTCCCTTATTTGCATCCCCCATAGCCCACCCACAGGATTTCACACATAGCATCTAGTTTTCCGACCCCACCTTCAGAATACATCCTGCGTGGACAACATGGGGCACATGCTGTGACTCACGTACTGATTGTTTTCCATTGCATCATCAGGAATTCTGCATAAATGTCAATTAATTAGGAACTTGCCATACATATGTCACTAATGATTACTTGTAATTGGGATCAGTATGAGCACTACAGTGGAGAGACAATCCACTTTGTTGGAGAAACTTTGTGCTTTATATGCTATAGCAGTACCTGATTTCTTTATTCAATTCAACACGTATTTATTAAATGCCTACTACTGCTAGATTGCTTTATGTCCTGGAAAACATGGCAGAACAAAACAATCCTGCCTTAAATGCTAGAGAGGGGATACAGAGGACTGGATCTGAACTGTCCTAAGTACTATGCTTACTTCAGGGCTGTGATGACATCAGAGTACAGGCCAAATGCTTTATTTAAAAAATGCAGTGATTGGGGCTGGAGAGATGGCTCAGCGGTTAAGAGCACTGACTGCTCTTGCAGAGAACCCAGGTTTGATTCCCAGCACCCACATGGCGGCTACGAACCATCCTTAACTCCAGGGGAATCTGAAGCCCTCTTCTGACCTCCACAGCACTGCAAGACATGGGTACACTCACATACATGCAGGCAACACACTCATACACATAAGATAAAAAATAATATTTTTTAAAAAAATGCAGCGATAACAAACCCCGAATTCTTTCAATGGCAATAAGAGTTTTGTTGCTGTACTCTCAAGAAAAACACATTACTTTTAAATTCTTACAGAAAAAATAAATTTATAGTGAATCTGGAATTTTCTTTCTTCTACCCATTCAGTTGCCACAAATGCTTTTTATAAGAGATTTATGAACATAATTCTTTTTGTCTTTTTGAGACAGGGTCTCCCTGTGGCTGCAACTGGTCTCAAACTTGCTATGTAGACCAGGCTGGCCTCTAACTCACAGAAATCTGCCTGCCTCTGCCTCCTGAATGCTGGAATTAAAGGCTTGGGCCACCATGCCTGGCAAACATAAACTTTTAAAATAAGAACTCATCAGAGATCATAACTTATTAATATGTGGGCTAAACCTGATTCCTAAAAGAGTTGTCCCTGGCCTACATCATGTTTTGTGTTTTTAAAAACTTAATTGCAACAATTCAGTTTCACAAATCATGCTCTAGTGCCTAGATTTCTCGATGACCTTGAATAAGTGAAAGATTTAACAACAGACTTAAATGCTTATATGTGAACAACTGGCTGGAGCCAAGTTGCAGGCACCCTGTTTAGATGGGGTGTAGGTGCCTTCCAGTGTTTCCTCAGTCCTCACCTGATCAGCCTTAATGATCAACTATTCAAAATTTCTGCAAATTCCATAAAGCCACGTGAGTTTGTTACCTTTGAAGAGAAAAGCATTCATGTATGTGTATATACATATATGCTTTTTTATTGTAGAAGGGTTGAAGTGAGACCTAAAATATTTCAAATAAGACTTGTGAAGTTTCAAGCAGAGTAACAAGAAGTTAGAAAACATCAGGGCTGGGCCAGCAAGATGGCTCAACAGGTAAAGGTGCTTGCTGCCAAACTCAACAACCTCAGGACCCATGTGATGGAAGGAGAGTTGTCCTCTGACCTCCACATGTGCACTGTGGCACATGCATACAAACACACTGAAATAAATAAATGTAATTAAAATATAGAATAAAGCATCAGAATCCATTTACCAGGACAGCGCTCTACTAATTAAGCTCAGGGAAATTTGCTGTGAATGTCAAATGGTTTAGTATTGCCAGAAGACTTACATTCCCTTCAGCAATTAGCATCAAGCTGGAGGAAACCTGCTGTTTCTGGTGGCTGAGTCCATTTTTCTTTCGGTAGGTAAGTCCACCTGGGGTTCTCTGCTTGCCAGTGCTGAATATCCCAAGAACTGAATTCAATTACTTCACCAAGACAAGGTTTATTTTAGAAGAGCTGAACATCTCGGACTCTTTCCACATATTCCGAGATGAAATCAACCTGCATCAGCTAAACGACGAAGGAAAGTTGTCGATAACACTGGTTGGCAGCAATGTCCTGGGGAGGTAAGACTGTAAGGCTCTGTGGGTTTGTCCCAAGTGAGGGTTTTCTGCTGGTTGTCACCGTGCTCAAGATTATTGTTATTTAAGAAGAGTTATTGAAAGGACTTCATGGGGAAAGGAATATTTTCTTCTTTTATGACAAAATCTGGTTTATGCCAGTTTTCACTTTATACTTTGACCAAAAGTATATTATGTTCTTAAGGCGATACAATAGTCTTATGTATGGATGCTGAAAATAAGTAATGAAAACTGAAACAGTAGATAAAACCGAAAGGTTCTGAAGTAAGAAATCTCAGTAGGGAAATGGGAAACACATGTGGAAATGGGCCACAAAAGTCAATTGACCGTCGGTGGTCCGTTTTATGCTACAAGAAAGATAGAATTTTGAAAGTTCACATAGTTCAATCCTCTTATTTTACGGGCCAGAAATGTCAAACCCAGTGTCACAATGGATTTGCCCTAGCTACCACAAGCAGGTGAGGAAGATTTCAGGTTAGAAGGTGGCCATTCTGCCTCCTTTAGTAAGCATTTAAGAGCTGCTAGCTGGGGCAAGAATCCAAGGAAGAGGAATAAAGCAAATTCTCCATCTTTAGGGATATTGCAGACATGCCCCCATGACATGCTTTCTACTGCAACTGAGTAAAGAGCCACCACATACACACACCATCCTTTGAAATGTTCATTCTTTACACAGTTTGCTAATTTGCCTGTTGTTGACGACCATCAATTGCCTAAGAACACATGAAATAAAACATATATTTAATAATTTTTTTTTTGTCTTTTTGAGACAGGGTCTCCCTATAGCCCCAGCTGTCCTGGAACTCACTATATAGACCAGGCTGGCCTTGAACTCAGAGATCTGCCTACCATTTTAGTAAGCATACTTACACATGAATTAAAGTGTACTTGGGCAATATCATACAATCATTTTACAAGGATTTTTAAAAAGTTTGAATATATCGTCTGCTTTTATCTTTATGCTGTTTGAAGTAAATGAAATTCTGTTGAATATTTATCAACCATCTGTCCATAAGAGGCTGAATATTATTAGTGAGTTTTTTTAACCAACTTCAGCTATCATTTGTGTTAGCTTTCTATCACTATAATGAAATACATCACACAGGCTACTTATGAAGTAAGGAGAGGTTTATTTGGTTCATGGTTCTAGAGGTTCCCTTCTGAGGGCATGTCCCAGATGATGTAGAGACTACCCTCCAAAGGGACTGTGGGACTCTTCTGTCTCTTAGTCTCTGTTCTTGGCTTAAGCTGCACCCACTTTGTTTCTAGACATTCTGACATGCAACCCTCCCCACAGGCTCCCAACTGCTATGACAACCTAATCTTAGACTTGAACCTCCTGAACAGACCATATAGTCAGAATTCCTGGTGATCATACACTTGGCTAAATTTATGTGTCAACTTTTTCAAGGCAAACAGACATGGGCAAAGATGAGATGAGAAACAGAAGAGTGAGCTATGGAATGTGTACATATCGATCAAAATTGAGGATGAGTTTTGTTACTAATTAAAATGGAAAAAAAGTTATGCTGACTTTGAGACTGTTATAAACTCTGGTTTTGGAATTATTTATTAAATAGAATATTTAAAAAATAAATCAAGATCTGTTTCCCTCATTATCACTCACTTGTTTTTGAACAGTCAGAAAAAAATAGTTTTACCCATATCTTCCCGATTTTGATAAAGAGCCCCCTCTCACATATAGCTGGGTGACAGAGTACTTGCCCAGCATGCAGAGGGGAGCCTTAACTCTCCAAAAATCAATAAATGAATACAAAATTTAATTAACTAACAATCTTATTTAAAAGAAAAGTGAGTAGCCCAGTGATTATTTTTTTCTGTCATGTGGTGACTGGTTGTTCCAGCTTGGGAGCCAGATTGTCAGCTCAAATACCACCTAGTCTACTTATTAGCCATGTGGCCTCAGACACATTCCTTAGCCTCTGAGTACTTCAGTGTCCTTATTTGCAAAATGGAGAATTTACCAGAATTGTTCCACACAGTCAGAACACAGCTACAGTGTTTATAGTGGTATCTAGCCTATAGTGGAAGTTAATAAACATTAGCTACTGTGAAGGTATAGAATATTCTAGGAATCTTTTGGGAGGTGATGAGCAGAAATGACGTTGAAAAGACACAGAATAGGGTTCTTATCTGTGTGTGTGTGTGCCAGAGGTCCACACCAGGTGTCTTCCTCTCCACCTTATCTTTTGAGATCAGGTCTCTCACTGAACCCGGTGCTCAATAATTGGCTAGGGGCTGGCTAGCAGGCCCCAACAACCTGCCTGTCCGGCCACCCCGGTGGAGTAACAGTTTGGAACACCTCCAGCTTTTCTGTGGGGTCTGGGAATCCAAACTCAGGTTCTCATTCTCGGCAAGTATCTTACCCACTGAGCCATCTCTCTAGCCCCAATAAGGCCCTATTCTTCAGAGTCATGAGAATTTATTCGTATTTTTGGCTTTCGAGAGAAAATTATTCGTGTAGGAGCAGAGATTACATCCCGGAAGCGAGAACACACGCCCTAGCTCTTTCTCCTCCTCTTCTCCGTTTATCTTGCAGCGAGGACGGAATTTTGGAATCTGCAGTTGTCAGAGTCATTAACCCTGTTGAGCAGAGCGACGGCGAGCTGGAGCTCCCCGAGTCTTCCTCCTCCCTGGTGCTGAAGGAGCTCCTCCGTGAGGCTCCAGAGCTCATCACCGAGCAGCTGGCTCACGTCCTCAGAGGTGAGCATGGCACCTCCTAGTAAATACGGAAGGCTTAATGGGGTGGCTCTGGACCTGCTCAAGCAGAAAGCGTGCCATCCATTCTTGGGTTAACTATCCCTTTAAAGACCCCGGGAAGCGTCACCAAAGAGGCAGGGAGTAAAGAGTTTGTTAAAGAGTAACAGTATATTGAATATTAAAAATGTGCATTTAGAAATAGGCACGAAGGGGCTGTGCTGTTGTTTCACTAGACAAGAATACTAAACGGTCGGAGAGCCGGAAGGCTGCTCTTCTGTTAACAGCTTCCCGAGGACATTCCCTACGGCAGCGTGATTGCTCACCAGAATTCCACGTGCCGGCGGCCTTGGAGTATCCCCTGATACTTATACATGCTTGGTTTATATAATCCTGCCTGCTTGGCAAAATACACAGCTCTTATTTTTTTGATATTTTGGTGCTAGGTCTTTCAGTCCCGTTTTGCAATAGACGCCGTCTGTGACCTGTTTGTAGCACCGGCCTCTACTGCTCTGCTCAGCTGGAGTCAGCTCCCGGTATTTGTGGGCTCCGCCGTGGCTCCTCCAACCTTGAACTGAAAATATTCATTTTAAATTGCATCTGTATCGAACATGTAAAGACATTTCCTCATATCGTTATTCCCTAAAAAATCCAGCATCACAATTTACACTGCTTTTCCATCCTACCAAGCACACTTAGCAATCTATTGGTTATTTGAAATGTGTTGGAACAGTGCACTGGATGTCTACAAATACTGTATTACACGTGTGTGTAGAGCATCCGTGGGTCCTGGAACCAGTTCCCTACAGACAATGAAGGAAGGCTACGTGGTGCTAATGCTGTCCGTCCTCTCCTTCAGTGGCGCCCACTGCTTCCGAACGATGGTTTTCAATTAGAAAATTGTCAGTCAAATTTGGTGCCGTGAAATGACCACAGGACTTGGGTTATTTTTGCATGTAGGACACCTTTGTTTCATATAAAGCTTTCTTTTATTTCCACAAGCCATTTCTGACCTTGTAGGCACAAACTGTTCCCCGAATGTTTAATAAGGAAAAGATTGTGAGGAAACAGACGGAAAGAAATGAAAAGTGCGGAAAACGGAGGACGTGCTGTCACATCTCTTCCGAGGACTTTTCCCTTTTCTGCCTCAGTCTCTAACACAGTTTGGAGGAGAAAGAGCCAAGAGTTATACAGTTCCTCTAAATGTTTTAGAATTAATGGCTCTAGTAAACCTGGCTCGAATACTTTATGACAATGAATGTCTATAAAAATGTCCTTTGCTGGGGCTGGAGAGCTGGCTCAGTGGATAAAAACCCTGACTGTTCTTGCAGAGGACCCGGGTTTGAATCCCAGAACCCACATGGCAGCTAACAATTATTGGTAACTCCAGTTCTAGGAGATCTGAGACTCCCTCTTCTGTCCCCTGTGGGCACTGCACAACATGGACGCACTTTACACACATGCAGGCATAATATTTATACACATAAAATAAAAGTACATAAATAAATAAATACCCTTTACAAAATGATGCCTTCAACTAACATAAGCAAGCATAGTCATTCATCTCTGTGCTAGAGAAGACAGAAACTACAGGCCATCAGAACTCCTAGTTCGGGGGGTGTTCAGGGAGCTGTGTTGCAATGCAAGTGCATGGTTCAGGCAAGCACTTACAGAATATGCTATTCACATAGCTTGCAAAATAAATGGTTTGTTTATTATTTTTAAAAATCAGCACACACATTATTTAGTGAGAAGACATAATCAACACCCAGCTCATCGTCATGATTTTTTGTAAATACTAAAACAATAGGAAACTGTAATACATCAACACAACGGCACAGCTTTGTTCATGCTGGTGCTGCCGCTGCTCAGATTTAGAGAATTAGAAGGGACTCAGACTGCTTAGTTATCTTTATTTTAATTGACAGAGCTACAGTAAAGGATCTGGGTCTTGCATGACACCAGAGGTCTCTCTGAAGTCAAGCGTGCAGCAACACTGGGAAGCTGGCAGAACATGAGCATCACAATGCGAGAGGGTGAAATCATGACAGGCTGGTACATAGAAGTCAGGGAGGTAGCAGGCATAGGGGCTCACACAGTGGTAAGAGAACTCTCAAAACCTGGGGCCACAGTGCACATATATGTGGAGAGGAAGTAGAACGTGGCTGAACAGAGGGAACTAAAAGGTGAACCAAAGAATCTGACTTTGAAGAGATGACTCAGGTCGCTCAAGACCTGTTCCCCAGAGCCATGCAGCTCACTCCTCCTTGGGAGCAGTAGACCACCTTTTTAAAAACCTCCTGAATCTTTAGTAAATATAAGAAATTAATTGAGGGGGCTGGAGAGATGGCTCAGCGGTTAAGAGTACTGGCTGCTCTTGAAGAGGACCTGGGTTCAGTTCCCCGCACCCATGTGGTGGCTAACAACCATCCATAACTCCAGTTCCAGAGGATCCATTGTCTTCTTCTGACCTCCATGAGCATTGCACAACATGGATGCACTTTCACACATGCAGACAATATACTCATACACATAAAATAAAATTAATAAATAAAATATTTTTAAAAAAGAAATGAATTGAGTCAGATTTTGTTCTATTTGCTGAAATCACATTTAGATTTCATAACTTTCCACTCATGTTGTAACCTCAAATATAAAAGGATTTGTTGTCTCTCTCCCTATAAGCAATTCTTTAATTCTCAAGAGGAGCAGTTATCTTTCAAAATAGTTCATGTAGCCCAGGCTGGCCTAGAACTCATGGTAGTCACCTGCCCCAGCCTTCCAAGTGCAGAGATTACAGTTATGCGCCACCATACCCAATGGCCGAGTGTTCCTTAGGTTTCCATTTTAGTTCCTCCACCTCTGCTCACTTCCAAGTTTTTTGGAGTGCCTAAAACTTTGCCCTGTACAATTCTGTGTTTGATTTTGCTCTTTGTTTTTTGAATGTTTAATTTTTGCAAATGTCATACAATATATTTTTATTATATTTAGATCTCATCTTATCTTTACCCCTGTTATAGTCCCCCTACCACATTTCATGTATTCTGTAATATATGTTGAGGCATATCAAACAATTTTGTGTCCCCAAATGTCCTTCAGTGTGTGTCCATCCACTGGAATATGGTTAACTTATCTAGTGTCACTCCCTTAAAGAAAACTAACTCTCCTTCTTCCAGTAGTTATTAGTTGCCAGTAATTCCTCAACTAAGGTTGGGGCTTCTTACTCACTTCCCTACATCTTTGCTGGGATTTTGTCTGGCTTGAGCCTACATGGGTCTTTTACATGTTTTTACTATTGCTGTAAGTTCATGTGAGTAACTTCCTAGCTGTCTCAAAAAAAAAAAAATCTGTTTCCTTGTGGTCATCTACCACCTCTGACTTTTACAGTCTTTCCACCCCCTCTTCCACAATGGTCCCTGAGCCCTGGGTGGCAGAGGTTTGATATAGGTGGCTTATTCAGGGATAAGCACTCTGCAATCTCTTATTCTCTGCACTTTGGTCAGTTGTGGCTTTCTGGGTTAATCACCATCTGTTGCAGAAGGAAGCTTTGCTGGTGAGTTGAGAGATGCGTTAATATTCTTTCTGCTCTCTGCTCTTCTATGTTCCCTGAGACTTAGCAGTTAGAGGTTGCACTGTAGATGTGTCACTTAGGGCTAGGCACCTCACATGCACTTATTTTCTGCATTTGATATTTGATCAGTTGTAGAACTTTGTAATAGTCTCCATCTGTTCAAAAAAGAAGCTCCTTTGATGATTGGTGGTATGCTTGTCACTCTAGTAGGGACTCTCTGGCTGTAGGAGCAGAGCAGGAAGGGACTCAGGCCTAAGGCTGGCTGTTTTTTTTTTTTTTTTTATTCAGTTCTTAGCACCCTGTGGCAGCTAAGGACCATCCATAACTCCAGTCCTAGGGGGTCCAGCTCCCTTTTCTGGCCTCTATGGAATTGCACAACATGAGTGCACTTACATACATGCAGGCAAAAACACCCAAACACATATAATAAAAATAAACAAAAGAAAACCAAAACCATAAAAGAGTCAGGACTAAGAGAAGAAGTAGCAGAGGAAAGAGAAAGTTGAGACAACACAAAACTCAGAAGAACTTTGGATCTGAGTTTCTTGGAACAAGTAGAGACATAGAAATATGATTACCAGAAAATCCATATCATTACAGAAACAGAAACTTTACCAGTTATTTTGAAAAGAAACTACTAATTTTCAAGTTTATTTCCTTTGCATCTTTCTTCTCAAAAAGAACTGACTCCACTGTTGCTGTCTTTAACTATTCTATACACGCAGATTTTTCTCTATAGATATGGAAATACATATTCAGATTAAATCATATTTGATCATCTTGGTTATAAAAATTACTAGTATTAGTTATTAGCTATTGAATTATTTACATTCTATTTACTATTTATTCAAATGTTGATGTAGAACCTGATTATTGAGGGTGTTAAGAGATTCTTTAGATAACTATCATGTGGTCAGCATAGATGTGATCTGCTTGTGTCTGATAATCTCCCTTGTCACTTGTATCCTTTTGAGCCTGGGCACAGTTATGGCTCTGTTAATAAGAAACTCAGTATGACCAGTGTTTCAAAGTTGGTGGAGTATTTAACAACTTTGAAATTATTTGCATTTCTTTCTTTTAAAATAGCTGTCACAGTTTATTAACCAAATTGCAAAAATATGCCATAGATACTTTAGATCATCCTTCTAATATGTTTGCCAGTCTGGTCTTTTCTGTTGCCATCATCCATGTTTTCTACAAACGAGGTGAAGGACCACAGAACATGGCTTGCTTCTTTGTTTTCCAACAGTATAAATCTCTTAGGTCAGATATTTCACATAGATGCTGCCATATTTGCCAAGAGATCTAGCATTCAAAGTGCTTTCTATCAAGGCAATCCTATGTTTATTGATATGGTCACTGCTGATGTTTGGATGCCCTCATGCAGTGTATCCTGAGCATGGTCACTGGAGCTTAGATTTAACAAAGGAGCTGC